AGTCACTTTCCCGCCCACCTTTATTCTCTTATTTACAATAGAGCTTTCAACTAAATCATGGTTGTACGGCAGTGAAGCATCGGTGTTTAACAATGATGTCATACTATCAATGATGATGATGGTGATGCATGCTGAGGATCAGGTATGAGACCTCAGTGGCAACAAAAACCACCAAGACTTTCCTTTATTCTATACTGTTACTCGCATTTGAAGTGAAACGCATGCCCATATGTTCGCTGAACGTCGTGAATCAACCGAATGACAAGCATTTCGTGTTCTGTCGCGTTCGTCAGCCCCCTGATTAACCGTCACTAGCCATGCATTTGAAGATGGTTGCTCAATTGAAAGGCGCTGGTTGTAGGTATCTAGTCAAGCTTTGGCAAATATCAGTAACAGGCTTCTGTTCACACCCAGATAACTTAGCTAATTGCTGTGTCCACCCTGCCTTACTAGACTCCATCGTTCTTTGTCGCTAGAAATGGAATTTTGAATATCGGTTTGCATCTTCTTGAAGGCCTTTCCATAATCGCGTTTTAGGACGACGCCATGCTGCGCAAAACGTCTTCTTCTGTAGTGTTTCCTCTAAACTGACCAGCTGGAGTCGCTCATGCGCACGTGTTCGTAGAAAATATGCAGAATACTGAGTTATGTGTTTCGCTCCATCATATTACCAAGGAACGTTGTACTTTGCATATGCTGCATTTGCAGTTGGTCTCCCAAAATACCTAACCAAACATGCTATCTAGTCCAAAGTGGTGTATTACAGAAAATAGGAGCTTTTCTTCTTACGGTGCCGCTATCAAGAGCTCTGCTCTTGGAAGTTATAATCGGGAGTTATGGTCAGATGACCAGCTTTTATAACGCTGGGACAACGAAATTCGCGCCAGAATTACTGAGCACTCACCGTTAATTAATCAGGTGTCATTTAAAGAATTGGCTTTGGCGGGACGTGTATCATACGTGTAATAGAAAGTAGATTTGGACGTTTTCAATTGTACCCACAGAAACTGGTGACTGAGGTGCTGGAAATCGTTTATGTAGATGGGATCAAAGTTTGGAGGCTAAAGAGCTGGTGGGGAGTGGTTTTAAACCAACCAACCACATAGGGGTACGCAGTCACATGAGATACAAAACGTTTACCGATCAAGCTCCCAGTAATCACCTCATTCACAGCCTCACGTCACTTTTTAATTACTTTGTTGCTTTTTTAATACTCACCTGAGGTGACAGAGTTTGGCGAAAAAGACAGTGTTTGCTTGAACTAAAATTACTCATAAAGTTGCTGCAAACTTTTCAGCAGCGCTCAACAGGTTTCGTCCTTCTTGGGGCTCACCATTTAAACGCAGTCTGTTTCAGTCAACCTCATTTTCCGGTTGGACTCAAATTGTATGATGTTCTCGAAATGGCACCCAGTTTAACACCAATTTGGTTCTAACGGATAGCCCATTCCCTAATCGGACGGCAGGCCGTGTGTATCAGCGTCTTACTATTCGGCTCCTTCGAATGCTGATAAAGTAAGTTACTTTACCTTAAGTATTTTGGATAGGCTTATTGGCATCCGGTAGCAAAATGAAGTTCCAGAATGTCCAATCGGTCGTGCGAAATTCCACAAAAGCGTAAAATGACTGACTGTCCCGAAACTAATTAGAATCCACGCAGTGAATAATGACAGCTAACCCCGTTATTCTGTTTTTGGTGATCTGTCGATATTTGCGAGTTTCGTTAACGTTGACGTTACATTTGGTTGTAAATAGCTGAGGGATTTTTAGGATTCGCATTCACATCCCTCTTATTTGTACAGTATCCCCTGTACCCGTGCTTGAACTCATACCCGTGTTCGATTTTCGACGTTTTGACGCTAGTAACTCGAGTGAGGATTCTACATCTGATATTGATCGAACAACAAAGCAGTCCTCTTTCCCGGTTCCAGGGAAGGAATCGGTTCCGTTTTAGTCCAGTGAACACGGAGGCAACATAAGATAGCCATCTCATCTATTGAGTACCAGCAAACTTACTGAATTCTATCAGACCAAAGATTCTGACCAAAATAGAAGTCTATAGCGCATGACCAGATCAGTCTGAAATGGCACTCATGTACTCAACTAACCAAATAATTTCATCGTCTGACTCTAATGATCACTCCTAGTTTTTAGGCCCACGAAGATTTGACCACTGAAGTTTGCTTGCTGATTACTCGTTTGTTTTTTTTTTATTCTGAAACCACGGGCAGGTAGTACGCTGAAAATTGGCATTTCACAGATCAAATCTACATCGAAGCACACTGTCAGTGAGAACCAAGAAAAGTATCAAAACGTCCTGAACCGATTGTTGGATGATAGCCGTATCGGCATGTTCATACTCACACGTCCGGTTGATTCTGGGAAACCAGTCAACCACGTGTTTAGTGCGAACTGTACTTTACCAGGTTGACGTAACAGGGTTCGAGTAAACCTCAAGGTTCAGACTCAACCTCGGAAACAGGCCGCCACCTGCACCACTTGTGAACTCAACGTACCTTTATTTACAAGATGAAATCTCGATTGAGAAATTCCGAAATCTCCTAGCGTTACTAAAAATTTATAGGTATATTAGAGGAAAGAATAATTCACATGATGAGTCAATCTTTACTCTGAGAAACTGTCACTCGGTAACTGACCAACATGTGTGATTATGTGATATGGATCTCATGATTAAAAAATGGATGGCGGTATATTCCGCCTAAGAACGAGCTAGTCACACTGCCTAGAAGCCGCTCATGGTCGAATGTTTTGATGTTTAACTACTGGCCAGGAGTTTGTGCATTCGGAACTTCCTGAAATTTCATGGAATTTGCACGAATACCGAGTTCCAGAAGGGATGAAACAGATGCATAGCCCTTCTAGGCTTTTCAACATTCATTAGTTTCACTTACGAGACAAAATCTTCAGTGGTACTTGATTTATGCTGCGTTATTCTAGAGGTACACCCCCATCTTCCTTCTTATCAGTCCAATATCTACAGGCCTCCTCGGACTAAAGATTCATCTTGGCAAATCGGCGACGCTCCAAAGGACCACCTTAACGACGTCAAGCCAGATTTAACCACGAAATGAAATAACAGTAGACATGTGATCTAGTGTTAGAGTGAAATTACAAAAACTCATCCTCGTTTTTATTTGAAGAAAGCACATTGATTATGCATGAAAACAGTACCTTGTCGGGCAGGTTAGGGTGTTTCAGGCAGAACTTCACATGAAGGTACATCAGAAGTTGCAAAAGTTTAAATGATATCTGGTCGTAAAACTTACATCTCATGCGTCTAGTAAATTTAATTAGAAGCCAACCTAGCTAACTAGCATGCTAGCTTAATCAATCAGGCTCCATTGCGGTTACCCAGAAAGCCCATCACGCAGTTGTGTAATCTCTCCCAGCCCGGACAATGTGTTTCCGCCCGGAATGTTGCTGTCCTGTCTGACGTCCAGCGCAGTTGAGGTCGGGTGCTGCATTTGCATTCACATTCCATCTCAATCACTGAGTATATTTTGGTCCTCATTGTTCGCGTTTTACGTATTCTGGCGTTTCACACTCGGCTGCTAGCCCGCCCATGTGGGAAAAAGAGAACAGCAGCTTTAACTGGGGAAATGGCTCTCGAATTTTTTTACTCCCTGTTTCAAACCCCTCGGGCTCATCCAGCAGCCTTTAAACGCCCGACCTCTCGGCAGGCTTTTTTATAGTTATAAAATATTCGTTATACAACATACTTCTCCGAGTAGAAAGTAAATGTTCACTTTCACTCTTTTGATACAAAAACCATCTTGTCATATCTGATAAATGGACATAAATCGTTAGAAGCTGTTGGCACAGGCGTTTTGTACTACTTTATCAATCAGTGCATCGGCTAAACAAGTGAAGTAGGCCGAATTGATTTCTGGAGGTTTCCTTCACCCGTGGGCGTCGGCACGAAATAGAAGTATTCAAAACAGGAATAAATACACCACTCGATAGCTGTAGATGCCCATCGCCATTTAAAGTTAGGTAACGGTACCTGCTATTCTCCTCCGAAAGCGGACAATTTACTTTCCGTACAAGCTGCATGCTGATAAATATTCGTTCTATATGGCAGAAAAATCCAATTAACAGAGTATATCAATATTACTTCATTTAAAATTCAATAGTGCGGGTTTAGAGAGCTTTTGGGTCGTGCATGGTCAGATAATAACTGTTAGGGGAGGTGATTGCCGGTGTTCGTATAATACTTTTCTGGATGCAAAGTTTAGACCTGTGAATACGTATACCAATGACTTAGGTAGTAGCCGAGGCTATACATCTATTTTCTTTTAAAAATTAAGATGAAAATTCCTGCCTACGCTCAGACAATGTTATGTCGCTGATGTGGTGTCCCCTATCAAGCACAAGCAATATAAATTGATCCGTTGGTGGCCCACCATAGTCCTTTGTGGAAACATGCCATTGTGTTCAGCCCCTGATTAATGATAAATCTATTTGCCTAGCGCGAGTCTTCTTGGGAAATTTCAGCACAGAACAGATAGGGACGTGTTAGCGCAAAATTAGTCCGATTCTACCTTTCAGTACGCTGAGAAAGTCGTGGCATACGCCGGTCGTCAACTGTTCACGCTGTATTCCCCTTATAGGCATTTATTATAGGCCATTTATTTTTCTTTTAAACTGTTTGTGAACGAGAGAATGAATCGAGCCACTCCAGTATGCGTTTGTAAGCTGGGAGTTCCATAAGAAGGACCATAGTTTGTGCTATTCTTTTGGAATAGTACTTCAACGATGAATACAACTACAAAACGTTATGCTTTTGTGGAGTTCTTGGGCGTCTCATTTTGGGAGAACCCTTAACTCAAATACAAAGTACCGTAATTTTTTATGGTTTATCTGAAGCACGATACAATACTTTACAGGAGCCTAAAGTTGAATCATGTCAATGGCCGAATCAGGTGGAGAATTCGACCAATTAATTTCGTCAACAAGAACGGAGAACTACCAATTCGTAGTTTTAGCCACTTTTCTACTTCTAAAGAGGTTATCGGTATGGAATAGATAAACTGGGTATGCGACAGTCATTTAGTGTACAAGTCTGTATTTACATAAACCGACTGAAAGTAGGCGTTGATGACAAGAGCAGTATATCGCAAATATGGGTTTGGTCAGATGTTCGCATATTTTGTTCATGTTTCAGGTTATCACAATATAAGTGATTTAAACGTAAGCTTGGGCAGTCAGATGATGTGTGCATGGCGAATTGGCTGAAATTCATCAGAATGATTTTGGGTTCAGTCAACCCGTGTGCGTATATGGCTCTGAGAAAAACGTTTGGCTCCATGAGGACACAATACAAAGAACTTGATTCGGGGTGTCGCATTTTATCAAGAGACGTCATCCGCAGACTGCCTGCTTACTCTGGCTTGATTTTAAGGCAGATTTGAGGGGTGAAGGAGCTGTAGTTTTCAACTGTTTGTTTCCGTGTCCGCTGGCATGTCTTGCGGAACTAGCCGGAGGCGGTTGCGTCGTTTCACTTGCGTCCTCTGTTTCCTCATCCTCTAGGTCATCAAGCACTTCAGTTGGTGGCCTGCTTGAATGACTAACTTGGTTTGTGGGTTCTTCGTCCTCAGCATCTTCCTCCTCTTCATCTTCCTCTTCTTCATCAGTCGCAGTTTCTAATTCCTCCTCCTCTTCTTCATCTTCACTGAACAAACTTGCATCATCCTCAGTAGTGTGCTTTCAAGAATGAAAAGGAAAAGTGAGCACATGGGAAATACGATGAAACCTATTTATCTAACACAGAACTAACCAGATTCTATCAGGGGTAGGGTAATCGGCTTTGAATACAAACGGTTTCCACGTATCCTTATGCCTGCTGTGAAAATGGTGATCTAAGCCCCCGGCATCCTTTCTGCATCGTAATCACCAATGACTCCAACAACAGTAGACACCAGAAGTATCCCCGTAGATGCCAGCAACAATTCCTGCGCTAATCATGCCCAATTTACTGAAGCACTTCACTAAACGTTTTCCAGAAAGGTGAAAGTTTAGAAGAATGCATTGAATCTGTTAAGTCAATACATAGAAGCCTTACATGATTCAGGTTAACTTCGGTGATTTGAAAAAGAAAACAAAACGGAGTGGAACCCCTCAAGTATAGACAGTGCGTCTCCAAACTGTAGAGTTTTTACTTATCCCACCTTTTACTGCTTGTGATGCGTTACTAGAATATGTCCTGAGTGTAACTGTACTGATGTGGTGTAGTATATTAACTGCAAATTCACCGCTTCACTATTATTCGCGCGCAAATTAGTCTCAAATTAGTATGTTAAGAGTCAACCGAAATGGGATACACTTTGTGCGGATTGTTCTTACTGTTGTTATCGTGAGCTTTATAGGCTGTTCTTAACTGTATCGTTTTTAGGTGGGTAGCCGCTGATCCCAAATTATGTTTTCATCATTTGTTAATGGAGCCTAAATGCTCTTGATAGGGGATTAGGAGTGAGAAAAGGTTTTACAAAACTTAACTGGATCATTTACTTATCAACGTGACTCATCAAAGTTCGGTTTCGCTTTGGATTACATGCGTACATTAGGTGGAGGACAATAGGCACTAAAACTACTAGGACTGCATTGAACTCAAACTGGCTATTATGCAACAGGTAAGAAAAACTCCCGGTACAGCATGATGTGGTGGCGAAAGACTCAGAATGAATGGAAAGGCCTGGCAGTTATATGTTCTTGCGACAGATTAACAGTACACTTTCATGATCATACGCAATACATGCAGGATGCTCTGACCGCGAAAAAAAAACATTTCAAAAAGTCTCTAGAAGCAATAGCTTGGTTAACTTGGGTAACTGATAAACACCTCGATGTGTTCATATGAAAATAACAATCATCGGGAGTGTTATAATGATACTTTTCCAGCACGCGAATCATGTCTAAAGATTTTTGGTTTCGTTAAAGGTAGTTTGGGGCGACCACTCAAAATCTGAAGAAAGTCGGATGTGGCTTTTGCCATGTTTCATGGTTAGTCGTGATGATGCAGACTCCGGAATACGAGATAATCATCCTCAACTTTAGAAGCTATCTGGTTGTCAACTGTTACACATGTAGATCTCGAGCCAGTCGGTCAACGGAAAAGGGTCATGTTTCTCCGTGGTGTGAGAACCAGTGTGATGAACCTATTACCTTTCGTAATTGTTCCACCGCAATCGCAGATCCAACGTTTCTGACAGATGCTGTAGGAAATACTGTTTGGAGTTACACTTTTGTATAATTTTATTCATACTGTTTTCAAATTTCCGAATAACGGCGTGAGGAACCTGGGAAGAAGAACGTTCATCAGTGGGAGCACGTTGCCTGAAATGTCTGCTCTGTCAGCTCCTAGAGGTGCCTTTACCGTACTAGCTGTACCACATCAATTAATGCATTGAAGCAACGCATGGCCTCATTGCTACTCACCAATAATACTCAGCCATCCAGTACCTCTTGTTTGCTGGACGCATTCGGAATATCTTCTTCGGTTCTCGCATCCATCGGCTACAGATAGGGCCATGACTTCGTCTGCTTTGTTTGCGGCGCTCACAGACACACCGACTACGTCATCTTTCCTGCACTGCACGGTAAGCAAAGCCACCGAGCATAGTTCCGCCTTACTGAGCATACATACATCTTCCATACGATCCGGAGGACACTCAGTGTTGACTGGACGAGCTCCAGTGGGTCCGGTGACCTCTTTTATGGACTTATGAAACCATTCGCACAGTGCCGTGATGCTGTTTGCAAGCTTAAATATATTGGTGTTCAGGCTCTCCGAGAAGCCCGTAAGTTATGGGGTTTTGGGGCCACGCACAGACAATTTTTTCACGAAACTGGACGGAAGCATTTCCGGTTAGTAGAGTGAACCCTACTTCTTGTTCAAGATCTCATTCTCAAAGCAGATTGGTCAAATGACTCTCTTCACTAAAAATGATTGTACCGCAAAGAGGCTTGCTCCCCACCGTTTTGGAATTCCAACTTCGCATTACGTCGTACAAAAAAATACTCATTGTTCTTGATACGACTTGATAGGAACACTGAAGGGTTCAGGAGAATTCAAAAATTACTCAATATGATACAACGGTTTTTCAAGTCATTTTCAGCCTGTGTGATAAAACTCTCAAAACACCTGAATTTCACGCTGAGGTTTCTTCACTTCTCCAGTACACAATTCGATATTTTGATGGGCTATGTAAATCACTCCACTGTGACATTTTAGCAAAAACGATTTATCAAAGACATCCATTTTACCGATTTATCGACCAACTTACATGTCCTCTGGCTTTGTCTCCGGAACCACGTTGGATGGATCGTTCTCCGTTAAACTGAGAGGCTACTGGAGCTGGATGATCTCCACGAGCTTGATTCTGGTTGGGTACCAAAGTCTGTCTACTGATTGCTTGAGAGAACACACTTGAAGTGGACCGCATGAGAGTAGCACGAAAGTCCATGAGGTCTGATTCTTCCTGTAAGTTTTGTAACACGTTGAATGCCTCACTAAGAGTTTCCAGAGCTTTTGCGTGCCATAGCATCTCGATCTGAATGAAGTCTTTTAAAATATTCTGTGATAAAAGGCAACAGAAGTTAGGTAGATCCGCATTAGTACGGTGGCTGGCCGTTGATCCAAACGTCCACAAATGGTGCTGAACCACACAATTATACATGAAATTTGATCTCAATTTCACGCAGACCGGTGGTGTATTGTATTTGTCTCCTTCAAAGGAGATCCGCTGCGACTTTGTCATCTCAGATAATGTATACTTTTTAGAGCATTATCCATTCGAAGTAGCTGCTCCATCTCTTCGACTGTTCTAACCCAATTAGTTGTGTGTTTTCTTGTCGTACCGCTTAATCACACCTTCTAAAGTCACATTATAGCAAGGCACCAACTCGATGAAATATAAACCAAAATGTATCCATCTTTACTGCAAATTGTGGGAGCTGTATCAGCTGAACATCTGTTTTGGCGCAAAAACTATTGAGAGCCCCGGTGTTTAATTTTGCCTACAGGCAATGAGCACCCGAAGGCTGTCAATGAATTTCGATCAATGGAACTGCGAGAAACAAACGATGCTTATCGATTAGAAACATATTAGAAACACGTTAGAAAAACAGTCACGATCTAATGTTGGATCCATTGACTTGGCCGAAGTAAGCTACTGCACTTCTTCTTTGACTGCACCGAGTCAAGTCTTCGACTGTCTTCCGATAGTACAACTTTGCGTTGTATAGAAACCAAAGTCTGCATGGCAGGTTTAGGGAATGCAAACCCCTCCAGAGGAAATTGTTGAATGATTTGGGATAAGTGTTGTAGATGATGAAATCGAAAGTGTGCACAGCTGATAGTGCATGAATGCTTGAGACTTTGCAATTAACCGGAGCATGATGGTGACACTCGTAGCCACCACGGAAATCTTATCCATGTAGCTTATAAAACTGTCGAAACGCCTCAGCTCGGTTGGGGTTTCTGAATGAAATCTGCAGAAAAACTAGTCTACTGTTCGGCTGGTATAAGACTGAAGCCGCGTACTGATTTCTTGGAACAATGTACGAAAAAATCGAACCCGTAAAGTGCAAGGTCAATAAAATACTCCTCATCCTCAGTGTCATCGGTCACCGTAGTAAAACTCTTGTACCTGATGTCAAATGTCTCCTGCATCCAAAGGTACTGTATTTGTGAAATTTTCAAATGAATGGGCATAAGAATCAGCATAAAATGCATTATAGAATGAGATAACCTATTCTCAAAACTCTGAAAGAAAAATTTTCAAGGCTTTAGTTAAAATCTTCTGATACGATAAACTCAAGAAGTCACTGTTACCACACAGTCTCACCCAACCGGAAACGATATGAGATAGAAATAACTCAATCCATACCATGGCAGAGATGACTTTGCTACTGATAATTTGACAACCTCTATTTGGTACATCATACAGCTTGTATCTATGTAGTACATTTTATTCCAATATCAAAGTACGGAAAAGTGACTTGATTTATCGTCAGCCGTATTAGCTCACCTTGAGCCCCTTCAGCCGGCGTGCTTCAAATTCGACCACACATCGTTCCAGTTTGTCCGCACTCCGATTCGCATCAATTATGGAATTGTGTAACTGGATTTCAGCCTGAGCGGAGGGGCGCGTGTGTACATTAGTATGTGTATATCATATACATATATATTATATTTGTGATAGGTATACCATCATGGTACTACATTACAAGCAGGCAAAAGTGCAGAACATTCACCTTTCTGGTGAGAGCAGCAAGCGACAAAGTGATCACAAGACAAACAACAGGATATAAATTCAGGCTTACCCGTCAAAGTTTTATAACCATGAATAACTCCACTGATGTTTGTGTGAGAATTGAGTTGAAGCTACCAAGTGTGATCATTTGAATGTTTATGACTGCTGGTGTGCAGCAAGTATCTCTGTTAAGATCTTAGTTTGTGGTGCAAAAGCTGTCTAAAGTAGGGTACATTCAAAGATTTTCCTTTTTTACTGCTTCAAAATTCGACTGTTCCAAAGACCTTGGGAACTCAGAATAGGCAGAATTATGAATCTCCGAATAAATGTCCATTTTGAGCAACCACCAAGCTCATAATCCTATCAGAACTTTCAAACAAATAAAAAAATATCAGTATGTGGTAGGCTCAAGTACTCGTCTTGTGACTGATAATTCTGTTAGTGACTAGAAGCACGTCAAGCGCTCATTAGCTTTTCGACAAAGATCGACTTCAGTTGTAGGTCGAAATTCACATTTATGATAGCAGAACTGACCCCATCGTCTAAAAAACATTTTTCTGTCCAAAAAAAGCTTCAGAAATTCGCACTGTTCATCTTATTTGATCGCTGACATTAACCAGGTCTTCAATACCCAGACATTCAGGCGACTCAAAATTTCAACCATGGAATTCGGCACCCAAAAGTGAGGCCAATTTAAACGGATAAGCCGAGGAGTGTTTGTCATGTAATCTGATACAGATATGGTTCGCAACACCGTATCTTAGAAACCGCACTTCTTGAATCAAAAGTGGCTTGATTTAGAGCGGGGTCTGCTGGAAGGACCATTTGAAACAAATTGTTGAAACTGATGACGCTAAATTACGGAGTTTGAAGAAGAATTGCTCATATTCCATTTTGCAAGATACGGCTAAATACACTGAAAAGTATTTTCCGATTCAGTTGACTATAAAATTGCACTGAAATCGATTTCACTTGATGCACTTTTCCTTTGACCGCAGATGGTCGCATGTTTCAAATTCATTCCCATTACTTAATGGGCAGCAGAAGTTAGGTAAAGTCCGCGCACCTCGCGAGTGCTTTGGCGTTCGGTTACTGGGATGTTATAAGTAACATGCAGTGATGAGGTTTAACATGATTCGTAAGATGCTCAGGGCGCGAGACTTTCGTACTACTAACAACAGGATTCTGAAGCGGAAGAAGAGTGTAGATAACTAGGTGGTGAATGATACCAACATTCAAATTTTTCTGGCCAAGTTCTGTCGGAGATTCCTTGGCTGTCACAAATTTTGATGTGATATAAGCGCAACGACAAGGAGAGGGATAAGGGATTATTTGCTAAACCTGGTTTTGGTTTGCTCACTCAGGTTCCAAAGATCTGTTTTCAGCTCGGCAGGCACCAGAGATTAGTGTCGCCTGTTCCTGTGATCTCGTCTAAAGATACAATTAATGTTTCAATTTTAGCTCAACTAGCATTTTCTACACCATTTACACCACCGGTGACAGCACTATTTGACCCATGTTCTACTGTCTTTATATCAAAAGGTGAAAACCGCCGACTGGGTAAAAGTGAAAACATGGTTTATCTTTTGTGCACTCCCAGTTGAAGGGGAAATCTTTCCCAGTTGCAAGCTGTGCATGTCACAGAAGTCATTTATTTCTCGTACAACTGTGAACCACATAGCTAAGGCTTGAATCCCCCTACGTCAACGCAAATGGTAGATGTTTTCTTATTGCAGCTAAACAATTGTTTGTCATTTTCCATCCGGGGAGGTTTCTTCCTGCCTCTGCTACTCGACGTTCCCTGTCTAGGCTTTAGCAACCTGCCAGTATCCCAGCCCCCGTGCTTTCTTCAGGTGGCATAGCAGCTGGGCACCGGGAGGAGGTTACAGCTGAACGATTTTTTAAGATGAGTGTGATGATTTTTAATTTCATAGTTCATCGGTGTGGTGAAAATGCACGCAAGCTTAACGAGATGCCCAATTCATTCCCAGTACGCATCTCCCAAACGATGGAGGTAATGACCTCACATACCGTTAGCAGCGAAGAATAAGATGCTACTTTGAGGAAGGGTGTAATTATATTGTATTCAAGAAGATTGAGCTCCATGATTGGCCTTTCATGAATGTTGTCTGTTCTCGGAGAGATGCCACACCATCGTGTGGATGATTGGGAACGCTATTGTGACCTTAAAAGTGCGTATCTTGTCTTCGGAAACGCCTTTCTCATGTGAATTTTTGCATGTGATATAATTCCTTGAACCCTTGACAGTATGCATACGTATCCCACTGTCTGCTTACTGGCCATGCGTTGCTCAAAGTTGTGATGGACAATAGCTCTTTTAAAACAGAAATAATACACTCATACAGCAATCTTCAGAATTTCGCCACTCTTACATAGCTTATTGCAAGTATATAAACCGCACGGTGAAACCGGCTGACAACCAGGTGAGCCTCGCCTCCACTGAATCAAAAATCTACCTTTTCTCTAACGCAAGAAATTAAATTCAACATCGCATCCCTCGAAAATGTGAAAATGTCGTTCGTAGGATTGTCATGCAACTTGTTATTCAAGCACGACATAGCTTCTCCATGACCGTAACTTGTCGAACAGACCAGAAACAGATACCATAGTGAGAGGTCGATCATCGTGTAATGCTTTTATCTAGAACTTCTCACTATATTTACTAAAAACAATCTCTTTAATTCTTTAAATACAGGAAAGTATCAGTGATGTATGTAAAGCGGTGATCGCGGAGTTTATCACCTGCTCTTTCTCGATTAAAACAAGCTGACATTGATTTTTATGGTAGCTGTTGCCCCAAGGAACAGGAACCGTTCACCAGTTCACGGGATGAATTAAGCAATGAGTAAATCAAACTTACCCATTCTGATGGAGATGTCGGCGATTCAATAACGGAAACCGAACAGTTCTCAACTCGCAATATAAACTTCAGACATTTCTATAGTACTGTCTACGTTACCTTGTTGATTAGAGTGAGCATTCTGATGACCGGAAAAATATAGTCATAACAATTCCCAGTGATCCACAGACAAAGGCGTTCTGAGAACAAATGCATACCTCTCAAATAGACTGGAGGAAAACATGCTTGTCAGATCCTTTTGTGTTTTAGAAATATTATCATCCATTTTTGAAGAGCATGGTCACAAACATAAAAAGTGAATGCAAACTACGAGTGCGAAACGTTAACAATTCCAGTCAAATGAGATGAATTTCAACGAGACTCATTATGTATGAGACCGGTACGCCTAAGTGCAGATAACCATAAGCAAAGCCTAATAAACCATTAACAGGGCACACGCATATACAACACATGGACTGACAACATTTAAACCCGACAAATTGTTGGTGTTGAACGAACCGATGGGATTGGCTGAACAAAAACCATGGAACAAAAGTGTTATTGAGTAGTGCATGATAGCAATATAGTTCATCGCTCAGTCTTTTATCAGATACTTGAGCGTCCCTATCAAAATGGCCACGGCTCAAATTCAGCCTTCTTTAGACACTCAAATTCAATCTGGTAAAAGTTCACCTCAAAAAAAAAGAACCACAAAAGCGCAAAGTTTACTTGCTTAACCGAAGTCAACAAGAAGTTAGTCCTTTTAAGAAAATCCTGAAAATACCAGGCAATATCTAGGAAACGTATAACTGCCCCCGTGAAACCTAGTATGGGTCGCGCATTAGTTTAAGCATGCGAATTCATTGAACCTGTGTAGGTTAGTTCACTCAGGAAGCAGACGTTTCATAATTTATACGTCAAGTTAATTTGGTCATTTCTCGTAAACAATCTGCTGGTTTTATAGGACAAGCTCATCCATCCACATCCTTGAAAAACAAAAACGAATCCTATTGGATTAGGAAGATGGCCACAACTTGTGGTGAACTGATTATGTTTTTGTTCGCGATTGTTATACAAACACCCGGCGACACTGCATAACTCATACAGAGGTTCAGCCTCACAAACTTGTCAAAGTGCTTATGTCTGAATCATCAAGTACACAATGCTGATAAATGTTAATGAAATCATATTACGACACTGCAATTTGAATGGCGCGTGACCCTGGGTACCTGGCTGCATTCTTTTCCGTGTGCTTAAAATCTCACCATTACTTTGTAGTTTGGATTGTGACTTGTTCCAGATTCGTCAGTTTACTTTGTCTAGTGTTGTGAAGTTTCCCTACATAAGCTTTAAGCGGGTACCTGAATGAAAGTTCCAAATTCACCCGGACTAACTAAATCCCTTGTTTAGTTTAGCGGCCTGATGATTCAAACAACTAAGTTGTGAAAGATTGAGTTGTCTGGTTGGCACGCAATGCGTTCATCGAACCTGAACAGTCGCAACGATTCTGCACAATCAGGAAGTGAGCACGTGAAGCGATATCACTTGACTTCAAGTTCAGTAACGAATATCCTGTCATTAAAATCAGCAACGGGGATACATCCTCCTTGAATATAAGAGTCAAATGCATGAAATTCTGAATCTAATTCTTTTGTGTGAGGAACTAAATTAAGTCGAAAAGGAAATGGGAAGGAAAGGAAAGGGGTTGGATTGTTTTGGGGCATCACAATTTGGTGAAGTTGCAATATAAGTTAGGATTCAAGAGTTAAGCGCGTATAATTAAGTAATGAATCTATTTATGCCCCCGAGTCGGCATGTAAACGAGAAATTCCACACACATGGAGCGGTATTTTTCATTCATCACTTCATCAATCTCTTTTGTTTTGTCTCATAAAGATATTGAACAGTTCGAATGGGAAAGTGTGGACCATACCATCATACCAATTGTGCAAAACTACAAGAGTTCTTAATTCCGAAAACGGTCAAAATGTTACCTGGACGTTCACAAAAGGTATCACAAGTCGCCACGTATATATTTTAAAAAAATGGTCGGAATTCATCGCTGGACAGCCTCCTAGAATTGATTTTACCTCGGTCATTGTAAGATATATTCCTATGACTTTCGGATCCCGTTTTAATTGTCAGTCAGACGCTAGCCAAAAAAATTGCATGCATTTCGTCAGTTGTTAGTTTGTGACAGAAACATAAGTGCTCCGACAGTTTCCTGTTGTTTTTATTTTGTGGTTCCTCAGTGTTGTGACTAAGGAAAAAAATGGCACAGCTACTGCTGAAACGCCACTACTTTTAAATAGGTCCTATTAATTAGACAGGTCAAGCAAGTAGTTACCTCGGTGTATTTGGAATATTACCCAATTTAAATATAACTGTATCGTTATTATCACAAATTTAGATGAACCACATATAAGCCACGTATAAGGCACCACTTAGAGTCCAGCTAATCTGAGTATTTGGCGTTAAATACAGACTTCTTTGTACCATACTCGCTTTCTGCCCTGTGTTTGTCCGAGAAGTCCTTGTTCTACAATAATGTATTTTCATAATCTCTACTGTTAAGTTAGCGTAAACAAATGGGTATGATTTTTGGAGGTTTTGTGGGGGAGCTACACAATATTCGTATAAGTGACGTTTTTATTTTGGTCACTGCTTGCTACCATGTCAGTGTGTCCGCGGGCTTGCGTCAGTAGTGTCTTAAAATCCATATCTTGACTAGCAACAAGTCGGTGCGTTCCGTGAGGTCCGACCTAGTTTTATTTCTCAATTAGATAAAACTTCACAGTTCACTTAGTAGGTGACATCATTCTGGTCAAAGTTTGAATAAATTCTTGAAAGTAATTTATATAGGAAAATGTAGTAAGTTCAACTGGAAATCAAACCAACTGCATTAAAGAAAGGGTGTAATGCTGAAAGTGGTTAAAACAAGCGTAATTTGCTAGGCTTTTAAGGTGCAAAGAAGGCGAGTGGAAGCAAGGTTACAAGATGTGCAAATAGAACAAGTCAAGCTACTGTCGACCTACCAGGCGCGTTTGCTCTGCAGTCGTCGAACGTTCCAATTTCCTTCTACTAGAAATCTCCTTCTTACGTGCAGCATTTTCGGTCTTCAAATTAGCCTGTTTTGGAGGGAGCTATAGGCTCAAACAAAGCCTTACCCGTATGTTTTTTATTTCGTTTCCATAACTTGCCAACGGGTTTACCACCTTGCCGACCAAGCGATCGACCTAAAATTATGAACCAACCGTTGCAGTTAAGTCATTACCTCCGTATGTCTGTAGTCCTCAAGCGTCGCAAAATGTTCTGATACTCGTTTCAGTGTATTAGCAGACGAACGGTTGATTTTTTCTTTCACTGAGTAGTCTAACAAAATCCGTGCAATTTCGTCTCCTTAAAATACAAGCAAAGTAAGTAAACGAGGTGACCAGGAACACACCATTATTCCGCAGTTTTGCTGTGCGACGTGTGTAGCTGACTAGTTCTGCACATAAATCTCCAAAGAAAGCCTCAATCGCATTCACCCGTTGTTGCACAAATTTGGCCTGGTTCTCACTGAAATATAAATAAGGCTTCACAAAATGGTAAGTGATACAGCGCTTTGAAGCCTCTTAAAAGTAAACAGAGGTATACTGTGCACAGGATGGATTTGTATGGTAATGTTCGGCTAAAAATCATACTTAGACGCGTCATGGTTTATCCAGCTCATCATTCTGTCCAATATAACTGCCGAAATGAAATAAGAAAACTAAAACTACATAATGCGACATTTATTTAGTTTTGGGAAAACAGGTTTTACTATTTTGAGATGATGGGCCTTTCAGCAAGTATTGGAACATGTTATCATCTAAATACTAAAATCCAAAAATAAAGGTTATTTTTAGTGTGCGCGAAAGCTCATTGCTCTGGAACAACTGACTGCTGTCGGGAGGCAAAGAAATCTTGTTTTTCTAAGCTTATCTTGTAATTCATTAAATGCTGCACCGAACCTTCATATAAAGCGACATGCAAACAAGCGATACCCGCATGCATATTTTTCGATCAATAGATGCCCTGATGACGCGTGTTGCCAATGACAACCAGCGGAACACAATATCCGACTGCGACAGTTTCCCGGTCTTACAACTAATCTCAATACCGCTGTAGTTCCAAGCAACTTCCAATTCATACACACAGGTCCGTCAGCGTTTTAGCTTGCTTAAAAGGTCATAAATTGGAAGTGTGATTGAGGTTGAACCTAACATTTCCACATTTAAAGAAGAATCAGGAGGAAAAGCACCAAAACTGTAATGTGTATAACCGAATTCGCTGTGAGATGGAGCCGTCATTCTCGAAGCTGTGATGTCTTGATTTTGAGATGAATCAAAATTCTGTGAACCTGAAACCCCTTGCACTTAAGCTAGCACTAAGTCCCTCCCCCATCCACCTTTATTCTTTTCTTTACAATAAGGCTTTCAAATAAGTCATGGCTGTACGGCAGTGAAGCATTGGTGTTGAGCACTGATGTCATGCTGTCGTTGATGGTGATGATGCACTAGAATATATCATCGTCTCTTATCTTGCACAATTGCTCTATGGAGAATACAAAGGTGGTGTGTATGAAGATGGTGAATTTGTTTGGCAACTTGAAATTCATCCTGCACTATCTTATTTATTTTCGTAATTCTATGCTAATATTGCCACTTACTTTTCAATTTGTCATTTCATTAGATATTTACGCGAATATTTTTCTGCTATTTATTATATGTTTGTTAGTTATTCGGTGTATGTACCCAATTTAATATATTCACTGGTTCATTTTAACCGTAACCCAGGGAACCAACCGTGCACCAGTATATATCGGAGTAACCTAACGTCACCCACTGTGCCCAGTGCACGAATGACGCAATCGATCTCGCCATTTTCGCTGTTTGGACAAGTCCAAGTCTTTGACAGTATGATCCTAAGATACATGTCAGATCCCGTCGCTGACTATGTACCTGCTTACAACGATAGAACTAAAGTGATCTTAATTTTAGTTTCTGGCGCCTGATTACTCAAGCTAACACCTACCAGCCATTAGTTATTCAAGAATTAAGGGCATTTTTCTGTGGTCATCTCCTTATAATCACAACATATATGCTCGAATAAAACCATAAATGTCCCTATTGAAATCGTTGAACAGACAACAAACAAACATGAAAAACTTATTATCTGCAGTACGAAGATTTTAAACTTCATAATAATGCAGGTCATATGGTGGAGGAAGGCTATATTCAAGATTGGGTGACTTACAGTGATTAAGCAGGTAGCGGGTCAGATGTAGGTAGGAGTCAGTCGACTTAACAGGGTTTACGGTTACATCTGGCTCTGCATAGTATTTTTTAGGATCTGCGGACAGATCTTCAGCAGCCCCATGATGATGAGCCTAAGTGTAGTATAATCGTTGATCCAAACACACTCATCAATGTGTTTACATACCTGACGGACACATAAGCAACTGTGAATGTCACGTAACACAAAAATGAGGGTGACTGTACAATTAAGCAATAACTGCTAGTCGTAAAATAGTGTCCAAATGAAAATCAAGCTGAAATTTTCATCCCGATGTTTTGTCATCAAGATTGCCCAAATCATTGGCTGGTATGCTTGATGAACCCGTTACAACTGTTTCCAATAGGTTTTCGTTAACAAAAATACGTGACAGCAGAGCATAGCCAAGTTGACTTCATGGAAGGAAAAGAACTTTGGCATTGTTGATGCTAGTGCATGCGCATTTTTAAAGCCTCTTGAAAGAATAAACATCTTAATGCCACTTTTCAGCCACATAACTGAAGATACAGCGAGTTGCGCAATAAAAATTGCTCCTCGCACCATGTACCACCACGTACTTTTTGCACTCAGCTTTCCCGTAGCATGAGAGATGGACAAGAGCTATACTTTTACCGTTTCTTGTTAACTGAGGTATTAGTCAAGGTCCGCCGTAATGACTCCTTGATGATGGGTGCAACGATCTGTATGTGACTCTGTTTCTAACTTTACCCAAAAGTTCATCATGACTACCAATCCCAAAGGGCCTTTTATGAGGCACCATCTTTTCAAAGTTCTCGCATCCTCAGCTTACTTGTAGCTATTTTCTCTGCCAGCGCAATTATGCTGATAACACTGTGATTAGTTGTGACCTTGGAAGTTTGAACAGTTACACGGAATAAAAAACTAGATTACTAGAAGATTCTACGGTGTCCCGAAATTATTCTTTATTTGAGTATTTTACTTATACAAGAAATCGATTCTCCTTAAGGTCATGAAACATTATTAGAGACGCTCCAATTATTTGCACTTGACCGAAGTTACTTTATAGGGCTTATTATTGTCAGCATGTTTAACAAATGACCATATTATATCACCTTAAATTCAAAGTTCTTATAAAATGACTTGATGGCTTCCTTTTTTATATCGGTAGACTAGACGTGCCACCATCCTGCTTAATCATATCCGTCACCGACGGATCGCCCAAACCCTCACGCAGACGCAGCGAAATCTTCAGGATTGCCCTTGTCTAACAATATTGCGTTCAAATGGCTGTATTACCACGTTGGATGCGTCTGTATTCCTTAGGAAGTTTTCGCTCTCAGTAGAAGGCCTTCAAAACATTCAGCTAAATGGTTTCAATATTCAGTCCATCATAAATGCTTTATAGTGAGTTGGTGCAGTTAGTGAAATGCTTTGTAGCATGATCCGTTCTATATTAACAGCTTTCTGAGGTCGAACTTAGCTTGGTTTATTTTTTCAGCGCATTTAAATACCTAGTTTACACCAGGAATTCCAATGCACTTGATAGTCTCTCTTTGAGTTTGTTCAAATACGTTGGTATTGAGTTTGTCCAGAGATTCTGCACCCAAATGCACATTTAGCACGGAATCTGATGTAGGTTGCAATCAAAACCTTTATTACAGTGACCTTACAGTTCAAAATGGATTCTAAATATTTGTTGGCATTGTGTTATGCTATTCAGTTCGTGCTAGATGGTACTTTACTAAACCATTCTCCTGAAAACTGTCCTAAGAATGTATGCAACCAGGTTGCATGAGTGGAGTCCGAAGTAAGGCATACGACCCAAGTTACACCTTCGTAGAATCCGTTTGGTTATTCTCCTGTTATGTAAAAGCCTCCCTAAGCCTACCTAATGCACAGTTCAAACGTAAGGGGAAGCCAAAATTGCCCGCGAGCAGTTGGAGACAAGGACAAGAGGAGGCAACGGCAAGAACGCAAAATTAAGCGCTGAAGCACTTCACAGTAGGTTGGCAGTGGCAGCATCCAATCTGCTCAATTTATCAGACAAAGCCAGTGTTATTATCGTATCAACACAACCCGCTCGTTTGCGCCTTTAACACCTTAGTATCAGTTCCTGGATCTCTCTATGAACCAAAGACTTAAATGTGCGCTTCCCAGAAATTTATTCAACGTAACAGCGTTGATGCCCACATTCTGTCAGATAGATCAACAGGGTTATCTTGCTTAGATTTGCTCTTCTTCAAAAATCGGTTTGCTCTACCTTTAGAACACACACATAAGACAATTTTATGATAGCAGCTGGAGTTACTTATATTCTACTCTCTGGATGTCAGCCGATCAGAAAGCAGGTTTGCGTGGTCTCAGTTGTGCTCGAATTATTTTGAATGTGAGAGCCAAACACACTCTACTTGGTTGGATTCTTGCAAACGGCCGGCTGTGTACAGGAAGACCTGCCGGGTTTACATTACAAAACAACCAACAAACCCGGACCCGAAATCAGTTTATTATCTCTGGGTGTACCCCCAAAAATCTTGGCAAAATACTTTTCAGACTTCTGGATGCCTAAATGCATGGATAAAACAGTTCTTTTAGACAAATATAATGAGAAGGTAAGTCAAGCATCAGAGCGCGTCTGCAGATGGTTTGGTGAAGGCGCCCTCAAGATCAACAACGGTCGTAACTACCTACGGTTATGTGCTGATTGCCATAAATTTGCCTTAGGCATAAACAGCCAAGATGATTGCGATCATGGGCTGCACCAACCGCGCTGGCTAGAACATGCACTCCACACACACACNTAAATCCCCTGCTGAACTATGTTTGCCAAGGTAGATTTTGACAAGAAGGTGCTACAAGGTGAAAA